TCATATTTGTTTTGTTTTATTCAAGCACTGACAGCAAGTTCTCAAGACACCTGATATTCTGTTTACCTGGGGCTGTCTTCAAGGATAACATTCATGTTGGTAAGTATTGGTTCCCTTTAGGACCAATCTTGATCAGGCTTGAAAAAGGTGTCTAGTTATGGTTACAAGTATAGTATCACTATGAGTCATATCCAACTCTTTCAGTGTTGTGGACAAACTAAATCCTTAAAACAAATATTACTGATTACATGAAACTACTTTTAGTCAGGCAAAGGAAAACAGAAGAATTGTCATAATGTTGTACCTATTTTGTACTGTTAATTATTGTTTCACACATTAGTTGTAATGACAAAAACACCTTGAAGACTAGGTACCATGCCAACCTTGCTTTCATGTTTCCCAGGACTGGTGCATTTCTTTTTTCTTTATTTTTTTATTAAACACAATAACAATCACAATAATTAAATACGTTTACAAGAAACTTACACTTAACTAACAACTAACACTTTACAAAAAGTCACAAAGGAGTTTTTTGTCTACTTTTTGAAAAGTGAAAACTAAGAAAGAAAGGGTTATATTTGCATTTTACAGGGTGCATTTCTAACACTCAGTTTCTCACTTCAGTATCTTAGTTTGCATCTTTTTAACAATTAGTACTGAAGCTTAAAACGTACATTAGGTTGAACAATTTAAAACTGAGATATCATGTCATAGGTAACTTTGTTAACCACATTTGTGGCAGTCTACTCAATCTTGTGCACAATGGAAATATCTCAAATGATAAAGAAATCAATGCAGAGGACGAAAGTTTAGAATGTCGGAGTCCAAAAACTCCAAAGATACCACACAGCTTGCAAAATGATGAAAGAGCATCGCCTGGACGAGGTATCTGTCAAAAATGAAGCCGAAACAGGTTTGGTTAGGCTGTACGCAGGCATGAACGGTGAACTTTTTAAAATAGATTCACTGCTCTAAAGGATTGAAACTTATGAAACCCAATGTTTTTCTCATAAAATAATGTGATTGTGTTTTCGATGTTTTGAATGGCTGAACGTTTTAGAATAGAATGGTAGACGGTGTTTGTAGTCGCTTTTTGGCAATGAGTCAATTTTAACATTTCCGACAACTCCACTTTTCGTATCTTAATCAATAAAGGCAGTGTCCCTTCCCCTGGGTAGGTAGTACTTCGACAGAGAATCTTTGTTGTATTTTTTTCAGGAACTATACACGACTTGAAGAAGCTTCTTGTAGCAAATAACAAGGGAGAGGTTGGAACTTTCTGTGACCAAGGTAGACTTAACTATTTTTCTTATCTTTAGGTGTTTTGAGGCTACATGTTTTACGGAGAATGTCATGTTTCTCTTCCCGAAAGAAAAGGGAAAGTGAAGGAAAGAATGAGAAAACTGATCTTCGTTAAACAGGGTGCGAGTTTGTACGTACGAAGGATGAGGCTAATGGGTTATACGTCTCATTATTTTAGGTGTTTACACAAAGAACCGGAATTTTCGTTTATTCGAATCTACTAAATATGGCAGAAATTCTACATTGGAGCTTTCAAAAGAGAATCTTTACAAGGTAACAAATGAAGACGTTTCCATATGAGTTTAAAAGAAAGTGGCCGTGCTGTGAACGCACGACTGTTYCGTTTAATTCATTCCRCACCGTACATTGTCCTTACCTATATAAGAGCACTCGGCTTGCTTTTTGATTTGCGTCTTTTCCTGATAAATAGACTTTTTCTCTTCTTTGCCTTTTACTTATTTGTTAGTTGTTTGTATTTAGCTTAGTTTTTTTTTCATTTGCTTGTTGTCTTTTTGGATTCTTTGTTTGTAATTTGATTATTTCTAAAGTATGCATTTATATAAGGCTAAAGCCCAAATAACATCTAGTTCACACGAAGACATTAGCACAAGCATAGCAATAAGCATAAACGTTAAACATGGGAGTGATTTCACGCAAAATAAGG